CCTCGGGTCTCCCCCGTGCGTTGTGCTGGAACAGCCTGGCGTGGCATGAAATAAATGGACCCTGACATACACTGATGTGAAATCTGGACATGTGTACAACGCACAGCTATGTTGCGACCTCACATGACATCGCCTTCATGCCGCCACAGAGCTATGGTACACTAGACTATCTGAGGTCCCCCTCCCAGATGGTCTTGTGCGTTGTCATGAAAGGAAAAAACTTGAAAAACACAACGAAAGGACATGAGGGCACGGCACTTGCTCAGTGGGCACCCTACTGAAAGTCACCTGGCTCTACTATTTTCCTCTCGCGCATGATGTTACTGCTGGGGGCGGTCATGCAGGCTGGATTGAAGCTCTTATCCAAGCCCCGAGCTGATGAATTCGGCTCTCCATGGCCGGAACGGGCCAGTGCTGCTGATCAGCGCAAAGGCCAAAAATTCGGCTTGGGCATCTTAGGCAGGCGGCCACCATGACGCTGGCACTCGACGGAGGCACTGGTCACACCAGGGGCGCTCCCATGCCAGAGCTTCAAAGACGTCCGTGGACATGTATGGGTTCACCAGGCGCTTCGCCTTCCCATCGGCCTGCTTGTGCTGGCACAAGGTGATGCCGTCCTCGACCGTGACATGGGTGCTGGACCTCTCCGTAGCTGCATATCCCTGCGGCTCGGGGTGCTGTGTTCCCACCGCGGTGTCCTGGAAGGTCTTGTGCAGCCACTTCCGCATGCCTTGGTCGCGAATGACCTTGTTCAGCTCTGTATCCCTGCGGCTCTCCACGTAGTGGTTGGCATCCTCAATGGACTCGCCGGCCAGCAATGCACGGCAGAGGATGCCTAAGAAAGCACCCCGGTGTCGCCCCTTGATGCAGTGCACCACGACGTTGTCGCCGTGCCAAACAGTGTTCTTGACGGCCGGCCACACGTCTGTCCACTGTTCGTTGCGTTCCTGGCTGTATGCCGCCGCGAAGGTCATCAACTGAGCTCCCGGGAGGGTCACCCCCCCCCGGCTCTCAGGACCATTCGGGAAGCAGCAGATCTGCAACGCTGTCTTGGGGAACTTGTCCACCGTCTGCCTCATTGGAAGTCCTGCCAGGTAGATGCCACCACCCTTCCGGGATGTCCAGATGCAAGTCGGGGCCTGGGCTGTCCCTGAGCCCACACCCAACCGCTCCAAGTGGAGGTCCAAGGTGTCTCCTGCTGCCTTGCCATGGCCTTTCTTTGGCATGGCCTTGATCTGTGGCTTCCCAGGAGCGGCCAAGCGCTTCGGCGTTGTGGTTGTAGCCCTGGACTTCGCAGCTGTGGCCGGTGGCTTAGGTGTAGTGGCTGCAGCCTTCGGAGGTGTCTTGGGGGCTGCAATGGCTGGCGCCTTGGGCGGAGTCTTGGGTGCAGCCTGACCTCGGGCTTTCTTGACAGCTGCGCGCATCACCTCGGCCATCTCGTCGTCAGTGGCACCGCTCGCCGCGGTCCTCTTCCGGCCAAAAGTGGCCTTCTCCCCCACGGCTGCCGGCACCAAGGTGGCCGATGGCTTGGGTGCCGCTGGCACTGCTGTTGCGGCCAACACCGCCCTCTTGATGTTGCAGACGCCTGCACCGTGCTTGCCACCACATGCCCGTCCTGACTTTTGTAGAATGGCACACAAGTGCACTCCGAAGGGGCAGGAGTCTGCCGGATTCGGGCACTCGTCCGTCTGGAACTCCGGGCAAATGGCCTTACCATTCTTCAAAGTGGCCGTCAGCACCTTGCCATTGAGTTGATCAGGCATCTGAGGTGCCGGTGCGGCTACGGCCTCTTGCCGGGCTTGCTGTGCCGCTTCAACAAACTGCTGTGACAACTTGAGCCTCTTCTTCACGTCCTGGAAGCTATGTGCAGAGGCCCAAATAGGTTGGCGGTCTTGTCGCAGCAACCTGTCAGCTTCAGTAAGGCCATGAGCTCGGGCTGCATCTAGCTCTGCCTGCGGGATCGCCTCCCACAGCAGGTTGCTAGCGAGCTTGGCCGTAGCGCCCCAGATCAGGGATTTCACCTTGACTGACGCGGCGTATTTTGCCGAAGAATAGTGAAATGCCATCGCCCCCACCTCTGGTTGCTCACTCTTGTTTTGCCAGTCGCCCAGGGCTGCCATTTCTTCAGGCCTGCATCCTAACAACTGGGCCACCGTGGGTGCAAGCCTCCTCCAGCTGTAGGTGGTCAGATCTTCTGGATTGTCGAGGAACACGGACATTTCCTGTTGCATCGTCTCTTGCACTTCTAGGATCGTCCATGGGCGCCCTTCGTCCGAAAAACAAAGGCCTGCAAGTCTCTGCCTTGCTGGTGCCAGCGTCCTATATGCCTCCAGCACTTCCTTGGCCCAAAAGAAGCCGTTGGCGTATGTGGCCGGCACCGCAAAGTCGAAACCTTCGCGGGCATGCTTTTGTTTTCCCTTAGGGCACCTGCAATGGAGGAATGCAGCGGTGAGGCGCCGAGGTTCTGACCGCGCGATGTGCGCATACCTCAAACAGCCAAACGACATGATCCAAGGAGCCAGAAGAACTGACCACCTCTCATCGCCGACCGCGTGCAACTCCGTGATGCGGTCCTCCAAGGCCTGCACTAATGGCGGCTCCACCACCGGTGCTTGCCCACGCTGCCCAGTCGCCCTGGGTGTTGTAGGCACTTGCAAGTTTCCCAGCTCCATGTCTTGGTCGGCATTCTTGTTCATCCATTTCAAGGCTTGGAGTGCTCGTGCTGGCGCCTGGGTGTGGTTGAGGAACTGATCCAGGTCGACCATTCCAGGAGGAGCGGGTCGCCCCCGACTCTCCAAGAAGGCCCTCAGCTCCAACCAGGTGTTGACCACTCGGTCAATGGTCGCCTTCTCCGCGTCCTTCACCTTCTTCTCGGCGATCCTCTTGCACGTTTGTTTCCATTCGGCCTTGAGGGTGTCTGTCAAGATGCCAGCTGGTTTGTATGCGCCCATTCCGACAAACATCGACACCAAGCCGTTCACCCGCTTTTGGACGGCCTCATCCAGGTTCTTGGTGACGTTGACGGCCTTGGGCTTTTTCTTGTAGATTGTCTTGCGCACAGGGCGCAGAGTGACGGAACCCTTGGGGTTGTCCTCCACGACTTTGGCCCCAGCAGCAAGGAGGTGCTCTTCCACCCTTGCTCTTGTCTGCAGCCAGTCATCTGCTACGTGATGGCCAGCTAGTCCAACGACTTGATCGTAGTCGGTGTAGGCATAGGCGAAGTCGTTGTCGTCCAGGAGGCCTTCGTTCTCCCTCCATTGACGCGCACGCTGTGCAGCTATCATCATCAAGGAGTCGGCTGCTCTCCATCCCGGTTCAGGGTCACCCCCTGACGAGGACGAAGCTGCCGCTTGAGCTGCATAGTAGCCTTTGCCGCCTGATGCCATGGCGCTGCACCCTAACAAGATTGCTAAGGTGCGGAGAGCAAAAAGATGCTGCGGTGACTTCAGAGGTGCCTCCTCTGTCATAAAATCAACCTGCAGCAAACATCTTCTTACGTCCTCCACAAGTGCTGCATGGCTCACGCCAGGTGAAGCAGTCACTACACATCCCGACGCAGCATGCCCAGCACACGCGCCTGGTGGGATCTCCGCACTCTGTGCAGGCGGTGCCCAGCTGAAGCATGCCTGCATCCTGGCATTCCAGCCATCCACATAGCGCTCGATGTGCCCTGGCGCCTTCTCTCCCCCAGGCCACCCAGGGTCGCCCCCTAGGTGCTCTGGGGAAATGCCGCGGCTCGAGGAAGACCGGTAGGAGCTCGTGAGGGCCTGTGCATCTGAGACAGCTCCTCCATTGATCGAACAGCTCCCCCAAGCCCAGTTGCCCAGCGTCGCCCGCTGAGCACCTGAGCTGCAACCCGTAGAGATCCTGGGGCACGATGTCAGCGGCCACTTTGTGCTTCGTATAGGCAGCGACCAGCAACAGGTCCATGGGGTCCTGGTGCTGGTAGTAGTACGCCCAAGCATCCGCAGGCGCCACATCATCGGGCAGCACAACGCCACGGCTGTTCCACAAGCCGAGCCACGGGAACTTGAACCCCCCCACATGAGCTGCGCAACGCTGGCAGTCATCAAGGCAACAGGGTAGCTTCGGCAGGGGGGGGAAAAGCTCTGAATCTGTCCCAGTCGTGATGACGTAGGGGGAATGCAACACTTCAATGCCATGCATCCAGCATGTGTATGCTGCAGCATCAGAGCCCTCCCGCGCCAGCCTTTCCACGTGGCTCTTGAACTCCAGGAAAGCAGCAGCATGAAGGATCTTCGCCTCAGTGGCTGCCGGGATATCGATTCCTGGGAGTTTGCGCTGCATACAAGGTCGCCCCGTGTAGATAGTTTGAACCACCCAATCAAGGTCTGGAAAGGTCACCCAAGACCAAGAAAGAAAACAGCAATGAATGCTATTTTGGTTCAAGTTAACTTGAGCCAAAATGGTAGCATTCATTGAAACACTTAAAGATGATACATGCACACCCAAGCCTGCCAAACTCAATGCATGGGTATATATATATATATATATAAAGACTCGAGAGCTCCCACTCTTTTTGGACACGGCAAGACCTGATTGGTCAAATAACATCACCTTTCACAGCTTTAAAAAAGGTCCCAAACCCCTAGGACCAGGACTGGTCTCAACTTCACCTCAAACTCAAAACACAGAACCTTCAGGTATCACACCTGCTACTCCCCCCACAACATCCTCGCCAGGCCGAGGTATGTGTGAGCTAAAGAGTGTTAGGTAGCACTGGGCCCCGCCAGACCGGGGAACAGCCAGTCCGCCTACCCTTTTTTATCTCTTTTGCGAGATTTTTTGTGCTTGGAGTTTGTACTCCCCCAAAGGACCAAAATTGGGGGGGAGGCTGAGGGAGCTGAGCCGAAACTACAAAGAAAAAGTGCTGTCCACTCTCTCTTCTTTAATTCCGAGGTCGTTCTTTCAAAGACTCGAGAGCTCCCACTCTTTTTGGACACGGCAAGACCTGATTGGTCAAATAATAACATCACCTTTCACAGCTTTAAAAAAGGTCCCAAACCCCTAGGACCAGGACTGGTCTCAACTTCACCTCAAACTCAAAACACAGAACCTTCAGGTATCACACCTGCTACTCCCCCCACAACATCCTCGCCAGGCCGAGGTATGTGTGAGCTAAAGAGTGTTAGGTAGCACTGGGCCCCGCCAGACCGGGGAACAGCCAGTCCGCCTACCCTTTTTTATCTCTTTTGCGAGATTTTTTGTGCTTGGAGTTTGTACTCCCACTTCCCCCTGCCCTGCCACTAGTGGCAAGCTCAAGTTTTGGCAAGGGAGAAGACATTGACCGGAGAAATTGTTTGTGAAACGCACGGCAATGAGGAGATGAAGTCAATTTAGACTCTGCAAGGGTGGCTAACCCACTGTTGATATAGACGCGAGCAGTTTTGGCTGACTGCCAGCGCCCTTGAATGAGCAAACGATCCAGCTGACCATGTCGCTGGAAGTAAAAAGTGGCCCCGCCTCGTCTGAGGCTATAGGGTCGATACTCATAATCAGTGAGTCCTAAGGTGGAAATGGTATCGTTAAACATTTTGCACCACTTATGCGGAAGTGGGCATAGGGGAGTACCTGGGCTAGTGGATTGTTTCCATTGCCATAAGCGACGGAGCGTATCCTCTTCAGTGATTGTAACACTTTCAGAGGCACCTGTCCGCTTTCCTCCCTTTGTCAAACCCAAGGAGACAACAGCTACCGAAGTGGGCCCTGTTTGAGAGAAATCTTTGTTACGGAGGCCCAAGAGCTCTCCAGTCCTTAAAAGTCCGTAAAAAGCAACAAGTAAGGACAAACAAAAAATTGGTTGCCCCTGAAACAAAGCATGACCGGCCAGGGTATGCAGAGCCTTCTCAGTCAGTGGAGGTGCCCGAGACGGTAGCTCATTTGCCATCCAAGTTTTGAGTAACCGCCAGCTGCACACCAAAAGTCCCTTGAGGTGTGGATCACGGTCTTGGAGTCCCGCTAGGGTATCTGAGGCGAGACTGCGGCCCTCGCCCTCACTCCAAAGAAACTCCAAATACTCTGACACAATAGGATCAAGGTGAATCCGCTGCCTTGGTAGCAGAATGTCATGATCCCGCAAATATTGGTAAAACTGATTGACTGCCTTGGTGTATCTCTCCTTGGTCTTCGGCTGCACGGTCAGGTGCTTAAGGGTTCCCAATTTTGCTCTAGTAGCCTTACGATCTGCTTTGCTTTTCCCCTCCACATGCTGCTTCACTTTCTTCCCCATTTGCGCCGAAAGCGCCCCCGAGAGGGGGCATCAGCTGGATTCAAGGCTGTATGGACATAGGTCCAAACAGCTGCGTTTTGGGAGAGAAGAAGCAAAGCATTGATCCGGGCTACAGTTCGCCGAAGCTTTCGGCTACTAGTTCGGCCTCTAGTGAGGGTATGGAGACACACTAGGGAGTCCGTAAGGTGCACCAATCGATGACCCCTTGTCTTCTGTTTGAGGATTCTCCAACGAAGGGCACAGAGGACGGCTCGCATCTCCAAATTGTTGATATGTTCTTTGGACCCTTTCCAGGTCCAGCCACACACCGTCCGCCAAACCCACAGATTCGAGGGTATGCTTGCCCTCAGTCGATGATACCGTAAGGTATCTTCACTGGCGGAGGAGATCAGAATATCCTCACCCTTAATACTGACCATATTGAGAAGCTTCTTGACCAAGGCTAACTCCTTTCCAGGCACCAGCTGCTTCCGAGGACCACTCATCGGCGGTCTAGTCAGAAAAGTGGCCAGGTCAACAGTGTTGCCTGGGGCTGTCCGTTCGATACACTGCTGCACTTTCAGGGGGGCGATAATTCCCAGAGGGGCACACAACTGCCCAAGCAACCAAGTCACCACAGTAACATTCCATGTGTCACCGAGGAGCGAAAGCCTCGCGTCCTGATGCTCCGTGGTGCCCTGTTGCGATTTGGGCATGCACTGAAGGGTATACTGGCGTGGGAACCCAAGGATCACTTCCCTTTCCTCAATATTTACCAAACGATGCTCATCACCACGGTGAACCTGAAAACAATATTGGTATTGATAAGGAGGGAATCGAAAAGCGTCCTCCTCCCATTGTTTCCTGTCGTCAGGTGAAAGTTTGTTCAAACCCGCTGGCCGACGTCCTGGGAAAGCCCGAGGGCGAGAGGTGGTGAACGTAGGCAAAGAAAGCTCGGTTGTCCGAGTCCAACCAGGGGTCAGATAGCGACTGCTTTCCACCTTGCCAGTTAGCGTCACTGTGCCAAAGGGTGCATGTCTCCCTTGCTCAGGAGGCTGCAATGATACACCCTCAGATGCTTCGATGTCCCAAGTCAACCAATACAGCCTGGGTCTACGGGCCAAACTGACCCCCATAGCATCTATGGCCCAAGGCAAGCTTCCAAAGGCGTCACTCATAACTTGACGGTCGGTGTCATCCATTGACCGAACCGACTCCATCAAAGAATGAACTTGAGCCCATGGGAAGGCCTTCCGGACCAATTCTCGGATGCGAGGCACATGAACGTGCAAACTACTTCGATGATCCCTCAGGGCACCACGCCTATCCACATTGAGGCCACTGACCCCTTGGCATGGGGGCCCAGCACCCAGGATCACCAATCCCACCTGGGTGAAAAGGCAGGACCATTCCTTGACCATATCTGCATCCACTTGTTCAACAGAGTCTACAAAAATGGTTCCAGGGAACTTAGCCTCCAGTACCCGAGAGGCCGTGCTGTTAACCTCCACACTGATGTGACCAGCGACGGGCAAGCCAGCAGAATCCGCCGCAACACGCAGAGCCCCTATGCCATCGAACAGCCCAATCGTCAAAACCTGGGTCATCTCCTCCAAGGCTGGCACGTCTCCCCTAACTTGACAGGAGGCGGCAATTTGCCCCAAGTTTGAGAGCCCACGGCTAACCGTGACACCCCCACCAGATGTTGAAGCATCACTTGCAGTAACCACTGGACTGGGAATGGTCCTGAAATCCATCCTCGCTAAAGGCAGTAACGCCAGAAAGCGCAAGATTTCAAGCTGCACAACCTTGGGGATGTCCAATCTAATTACCGAGGGGTATTGATTGAATTCCTCGATGAATTTCCAGATGGCGTTGAGGCCTCCCATTAAGGCACGGCGAAACGTAGCAATGTACACGAGACCCCCAGCAACCACTTGCATTTCCTTTTGACTACAACGTCCTGCTGTCACGGTGAGGATGGCCAGCTGAGAATACTTGATGATCTTCTCAGGTTTCGGATAGGCACACCCCTTGGCTCCATCTACCACTGCCCCTTGGACCTCCGCCCGCACACTCCGCTCCACAGCTTTGCGGGGATGCCGTGGAATGCCCCAGTATTCATACTCTTGACGCAGGGATAAAATGGAGGGTGAAGGTGACCCCTTGATGACCTGTGCCAAAGAGCGGTCCACACGCTCTAGTTCATCAAAGTTATCCAAATAGATTCCGCTGTCGGGAAAGGCCTGTCCTTCCGAAGCTCCTGATGAGGCTTTAGGCGAGCCTCAAGTCCGCTTCCCGCACGTTGCACAATAGTGCGATGTATGTGCTGTGCAATACTAACGGAATTTTTGAATCCCATCGGTAATACCTTTGCCACCAGTACATGACGATCTGCGCGATGAGGATGGAAATGAGGGGAAACGGCCTTGTTGAAACCGAGGAAACGATGCCAGGTCGGCGGAACACTGAAGATGTAGAAGAAGCATTTGATATCTTCGGAAGAAATCAGAAGTTCCTCTGTGGGCATTAAGAACAGTGGGCTGGACGAAGACCAAGCCGGCAACGTGGCAATATCACCCTGGATTGCACGGACAATGTTGTTGAGCGGGATAAGATTCATGATCAATCTATGGACTTCGTGTCCTTGAATTGATTCACCTTTTGACACCCCGAACAGGCCACTGAGCAGTGGCTTGCCCTTGACATGGTATAACTCTGATTCCGCCATGACACCACAAATTCCCGACTTTATCAGCCCTTCACACATTCGATCCCAGTCGTGGTCAGTCACCATGACTTTCGGTGGTTTTGTATAGGTCATAGAATCTTCATCCAGAAGAAATTCCTCAAACCGGTCTACATAATGGCGGCAACCATCTCCAACCACGTCTCTCAACGGGACACTTCCTACCTCAGTAGGTATTGCCGACTGGACGTTTGCCCAGGAGGTGATGCGAGCTGTGGCCACCTCATCTCCCACATAGTCTAAACTCCGCAGCTTGAAGAAACTTTGCCAAGAAATTTCTCCCAAGCGCTCTGGCCACTCATCAACCTCCCTTACCATCTCACACAAGCCTTCCAAGAAATACCTCTGTAAACTAGAGACAGGCCTGTTACACTCCACCTTGCACCCTGCGTAACTATTCAAACCCAAACACACACAAGACAAAACCACAACCAAATCTTCGCCCAGATTTCCCAACCCTCTCAGTTGGTCCGTGCCGGTGGGCAACGGAAAAACGTCGTGTCGAAACTCTAATTTGTTTTGAAACAGAGATCAGCAGGGACCTAATAAGGGGGGAAACCTGGGGAAACAAAAGACCACTCAAATTTTCAACTTCAAACGAAACGCCCTGACTCTCCTCAACTGCCGCTCCTTTTTTCTGACCACTGACGCTCGAGCTCGACTGTGCCTCTCCTAGGAGGTGACTGCTAATACCTCCGCTGCATCGGCTAGGAGAAGACAGCGCCGCGCCACCATCCGCGCAGCCCCAAAGCTCCGGAGTCATCATCTGCTCTTTGGAAAACTGGTAGTTGGTATCCAGCAAAGTCGGACCAACATTAAGCGCCGACCCACTCCCCTTCAGATCATCACTAGGAGTGGGATTCCCCGTCACGGGCCTACAAACTGTAGCCAGGCCCGGATGGAGAATCTTCCCATGGGCATCAAATGGCTCTTCATGGGGCTTGAAAAAACCTTCTGCACTCTGGTCGACTCCCCTGATATCTGAAAGGAGTGACATCCTGTTCCCTCTAGCTCCCTTGCCTAGGAGCTCCTCTTGCTCTCCTCCTTCTCGCTGCCTTTTTTGCCCTTGCCTCGATCCTTGCCTTTCTGATCGCCTTTTCCACTGGGACGCCAAGCTCCTGCCCCAGTGTCTGTTTTTCCTTTTTCCTTTCCCTTTGTCATCTGCCGGGTTTTGCTCTCCTGCTTCTCCTCTCTTGCAGCCTCCTGGGCTTCCGCTCTGCTTGACAAGCGCCCCCGTTCGGGGGGGACTACTTCCACTCGTTGTGAGACAGCCCAGCTGGCTCCTCCCGCAATCATTTCCAAACTCTTCAGTCTTTGGCTGAGGCAATCGGCTGCTTGAGCCATTTTGCCTTGCAAAGCCAAATCCAACGCCCAGGAGAGCGTCAAGGCCTCCCTGCTGGCCCCGCCGCTCAGCCTGGGGGCCAGCTGGGACCTGTAGTACTGCAGGGACACTGGGGGGACTGCCGTCTTCTCGGTGTCCCACAAGGTCCCAGCTGCTGTTAGAAGCTGCCTCTGCATCTCCTTGACCATGCTGAAGGTCAACAGCCCAGGGGCCTTGCGGGCCAGCCGTCGAACCTTGTTGGTCTCCTCGAACACCTGCCCGGACTCGCTGGAGTTCAAGGTTGACGCCTGCGAGCTCCCTTCCAAGGAGCTGCCGCTGCTCCCTGAGCTGGAATCTTTTTTCTTTTTCATCTTCTTCTTCCACCTCCTCAGCAGGCGCTTGCGCACCCGAGGATCCGGATCTAATCCTGTGCTGCCGTAAACTGCCTCCAACCCCTTCTGGGATGACAGCTTCCTCTTCTGCCCCTTGGTCTTGTCCCGGGGCAGACTGCTGGAATCCGAGCTCTTTTCTCCTCTTGCCTTCTTTTTCTTTTTCTTTTTCTTCTCTTTCTTTGACTCCTCTTTTCTTTTTGCGGGTTCTGCCTCCTCTGCTTCTCTCCTCAGAACTGCCAACTCGTCGATAGCTCCTTTGAGATTCTCGGTCCAATCCTCCTCGTTCTCTCTTCTCTTCAACCGGAGCCTCTTGGCATGCACCAAATCCTTGGCGTCCAACTTCGCATCGCACCCTTCTCCGCAAAGATGAAGACGCAAAGGAACCCCCGGGTTTCCTGTCACCCACTTCAGCAGCTCCTCGTGAGTAGTCCCTTCCACTTGAAGGCGGACCTCCAAATCCGAAGGACCTCTGATCAGCAGGTTCTTGACCACCCCACATAGTTTGCAAGGAGAGCTCCAATACTCTCCCTCAGCCACCAGCAAGGTTCCTTGCCCCAAACGCCGCCAATGAATTTTTCCTCCTCAGCCAAGTCACCACTCACCGCCTCACGCGGTTCAGCTTCACCAGCAGGCCTACGCAGGCCCAGGTGAACACCCGCTCCCCTCCTAGGAGCTGGTTTTGCCACCGGCTTCGCAGCAGCGGGCCGCCGCAGCTTGGGGGCCATCAACGATACTGGTAGTAGTAATTGTTGTAATCACGCCACACCTGCTGCTTCTTCCTCTTCGTCGTACCCTTGTTTTTGCCCCACCTTTCAAAACCCTCTTCTGGGTAGTCTCGATAACTCGAGCTGTGAGATCGGTAATGCCTAGTTGGACTTCGCCACCCTGGTGGTGGACTCCTGGGCTCTGGTGGACGTTGATCTCCCCTCCTAGGAGATCTCCTTGAGCGCGATCTAGTCCTTCGACGAGAACTCCGCCTCGACCTTCTCCGCGACCTGGACTTGCTCTTCTTTTTCTTTTTGTGCTTCTTTTCCTTCTTCTCTTTTGCCTCTGTCTCGGCTGGTTCCTCCTTTGTTTCTTGGCGATCTTTTTCTTTGCTCTTCTTTTCTTTTCCTTCGGCTGGCTCTATGGACTCCTTCTTGACAGGCAATGGCGATTCTTTCTCACCTTCCACGGCAACTTCTTCTTCCTTTCCCTCCGACGGAGAAGAGATAACCCCAGGAGAGACTTCGCTCTCCCTTGCAGGATCCTCCGCTCCTGGCTCAACCTTTGCTGATCCAGCGGGCGCCTGGGCTGAACACTCGGTACCAGCCACAGCAGGAGAGGCCGCCTTTGAGGTTGCAGCTGCCGCTGCCAATCGAGCTTCTTCCTGAAGCTTGGCTTTCTCCCACTTCTGCTCCTCTTCTTGAAGGATCGAGACCCAAACTCTGGTCTGATCTACGACCCACCCGCGCAAAGGCGGGCTGATCCGCCGCGCCTCGACGGTCAAGCGCCGCAAGGACCGGCAAAGGGAGCAGCAGCCGTCTATTTCAGCAAGGTATTGCTGACAGTCTGCGCACCCAATCATCCAAAGCTGAGCCGAAACTACAAAGAAAAAGTGCTGTCCACTCTCTCTTCTTTAATTCCGAGGTCGTTCTTTCATATATGTATATGTATGTATGTATATATATACATTACGTGTGTATATATATATATTTAATGTAAACATATATATGTATATATCCATATATATATATATGTGTATACATACTGTATATATATATACATACTGTATATATACATATATATATACATACATACATACATACATACATACATAGAACCCATATATCATCCCATATCTACAACTATTAAGGACTAGTTGTTAATAGGATAATACAGTTCAATAACGATATTTCATCCCATGTATATATATATAACAGGAGATGTTCCAGTAATCTCAGTGGGTTTTTGACCCATTTACTAAGTAGGATGCACCTTTAAGCATGGAACCCACAGGTCGGCAGGTTCTGTGGTTTTTGAGACACCCCTTTAATGGTCCCAACAGCCATCTTCATCCATCTTCTGGGAATTTTAACTTCAAAGCTGTTCTCCAAGGAATGTATCACAGTGCCAGCATCAACTTGCAGTGGTATGTTGCTGCCGCGAGTGCTCAAACTGAAGCAAAACAACCTGAACCCCTGCGACTGGTATGGCGCAAGTTACAGTATAACGACGAACCTATGGAGGTCCATATTTCAACTGATATTATCCAAATGGTATGTTGGGTTGCATCAGTCAATCCTATCTATATACAGGTCTTCTGGATTTCCGGTGACCACACGAAGTGTCACAACCCCAGTGATGGAATGGAATGGGGATGGCGTAGCGCACTAGGCCCAGCAGCCTTTTGTCTGAGATCTCGAGCCCTCCCGACTTTGGGTGAAACGTGATTCCTTTGGCACCGCTGGATCATGTGTGTTACATGACATGTTTGGATGGGCCATGCGTGAATGCTGAATGTGTTCAGCGAACACTTGACATTGGGGAAGAGAATGTGGAAACACAATGATCACACGCTTGATATGTCGTGACGTCTTGACTATGTGTCACCGATGGGCAGTCCCTCCGTCCATGCCATCGCCTGCCTCGATTTCGGCAGATGAAAATATCATCTACATACTTCTCTCGTGCAATTTGGAGTTCTTTCTCCAGATTGGCAATCTGATGCTTCCGTGAAGCGGCCTGTTCCCGCAAATCTTTCACAGAATCACGGTAATCATCAAGATCACTTGATTGCTTGCACATGATGATGTTGTCGCGCTCTGATCGCGCCTCGAATTTTCGCACTTGCTCCTGCAGCTGATTCACTTCAGCTTGCAGTCTCAAATTCGCGCCTCTCAGCCCTTCAGTAGACCTTGTCCACCAAGCACGAAAGCATGCAATGCGGTCAGCGCATGCAAAAGAGAGTGCAACACCAATGGAGAGGAACATCGCCAGCATGTAGGGGAAGAGCACCGCGAAGTTCGCAATCTTCCACCACGAAGTAGGCAACCAGACGCCTTCCGCAGGCTGCACGTTGGATGCCAGCACCAGCGCAATCAAGGTCTGGGCAACCTTGGATTGAGATCCTCTGGTTTCTTGCACAGTCCGTTCACGATCTTCACGTGACTTCTTCTTCGCAGCTTGGTAGCTCTCGTCAGCTACAAGCTGGATGTAGCCACCTTTGAATCTTTCGACAAAAGCTTGACGAGCTCCTGGCTTCGTCATGCTGTCGGCCAGTTGTTGTTCTGATGACACCCAGCGCCTTTGGCATCTCAGGTCCTTCAGCATTTCCTGATCAGCAATCCTTCGATTGCCACTCGCTTGTCAGTTGCTTGCCGAATGGTCTCTCGTTGCACTGCATCGTAGAGGCCCTTGCAGTCCGTCACCATGGCACATTCGTCCTTCTGCAGAAGGTCTCGGCAATCACGAAGTGACCTGCAGGGATTCTTGAGGATCACCAGGAAGAGCTTGGCCATCATCAGCTCCTGAAGCGCCGTAGAGCATGCTTGGCACTCAGCTGCCAAAGATGATCTGCAAACACGTGGCAACTTGAAGGATCGCCAGCCAACAATCGATCCTGGCACTTTGTTGCCCTTCAAGACGGAACTGTCGCAGGCAACAAGGATGTATCCCTTGTGAGGTTTTGTCACTCCTCACGCAGAATGCAGCGTCAGCGTAGCAGACCAAAACCAGGTCATCAAAGCTTGCATCAGGCTGTTGCTTCTTCGCCAAAAACTTGATGTTCACATCACAGTTTGCCTTGCCAAAATGGAGTGTTTTGTTGAGCTCCAACAGCAGGCGGACTTTGGCACCAGAAAGTTCCCCAGCTTGAATGGACATCGAAGCTGCTAGCATTGGCATTCCTTGTGTTGTGGGCCATTGCAAAGCTCCAATCAAGCCTCTCGCCTTGCTCTTCTCTTGCTCAGTGATCTCCTGGTCGTCACGTCGACCTTTGGCAATTGTCATGGGGCAAACCCGTTTCATGTAGTTGGCGTAGGAAACCTCCAGGCCATGATCGTTCATCAAGATCGTGCAACCACAGTACTTCAGGTGCTGCTTCTTGGTCAAAGTGTCCCACTTGCCAAAGTCGAAGGCCTTGCGCAAGTCTTCCAAAGCAGATTTGAAAACTGGGTTCGTGGCACTTCCGCTGACCAAGCTGTCGTCAACATGTAGGATCAGCATACCAGTCAGAACTCCACCAGGGTTGGCCTTGTCCTTGGTTGTCAGAAGAAAGCAGCATTGGTCAAGATGATGTTTCAGCCATCCAAGACCTTCAAGTCGTTTGCTTGCCTCCTGGTACCACGGCAGTGGGGCATCTGAAAGTCCATAGGCGTCTTCTTCAGGCGCATGAAGACATGTCGTCCAGTGCCCTGGGCAAAGACTCCAAGTAGGGGGTCCACAGTCAAGTGGTAGTTTCACCAGGATGATGCGGTCGAAGTTGCTTCCGCTCAGGAATGCCGCTTTGACGTCGGCTCCAACCACAATCCAACATTTCCAGGTGGCGGTTGTCAGCAACCATGGTCTGGCCTGTCTTGATGCCGTTGGGGATGCCTTGCTCAGTGACATCACATCAGGATCTTCATAGCCTCGCAGCACAAGTCGTGCTTTGGCTTTCCAGACAGGAAATTCAGCAGTCTCATCGCACTTCCATGTCAGAACCCACCTGGCAGTGATGACGCGTCCATGACGGTCAGATTGTTGTTGTTCACCATCAGCTGCAAACTCCCAGACCGAGTTGGCAAAGTAGTTCTCAACCTCTTTGCGCTTTGCGGCCACAAAGTCGGCACGCTGGTCTGGAGTCAGGGTCTTCATGTTGACTTCGCGCTAGCGCATGTGGTTCATGTAGACCTCGTCAACCTCGATCCAACCATCGACCCAAGTCCAACCATCGGGCAGCTCCTCCTCGTTGCACAGCAGCACGTCAACTACCAAGTCATTCTTCTCGAAGTCATTTTGGACTCCCTTCGGCAGCTCTTGTAGACTTTCGCTTCGGTGGCACAGGATCCAGTGAAGCATCGGGTGGTGATGGTTCTGGAAGTGGGGCTTCTGTGGAGACATCAGATCCACGTCGCCTTCTGGGTGATCGTTCACATTCATCTCCAGGATCATCTCTTGGAGGTGCAGGTGGAAACACCAGCTGCACGACGCCAGGCATGGCCGTCGGTGTCTCGATCGGAGACTCAGGCTCATAGGGTTCTTCCTGGGCATCGTCAGGTTCAACTGGAGGTGGTCTGTCGGGCTCATAGTCAGCCTCTTGCCTTTGGGCTTCTTCCGCACATCTCTGGGCTGAGTTGTTGACCTTGCCTTGAGCTCTTCAAGGTCTCGAAGGGCAGCAGATCTGTCTGCAGGGACAGCAGCACCTGACTCCTCAACTAACGGCCTCACCTGTCTTGGGCTGCATCGGACAAGGGAAGTTCCATGGCACAGCCATAGGACATGAGTGTCGCCAACTGGCTCAATCGCGACAACTCTTGCAGGTCCACGCCATCGGGCTCTTCGAAGGATACTTGCACCAGCATCACGCCAATACCAGCATCTTTGTCCGATTGCAAGCTCCTCTTTGTTCTCGACAAACTTCTGGGTGAAGGCACGCCTCAGCTTGGCATCGGAGTCAGCCTTGATGAAGGCTTGTCCTGCTGCAACTCTGCGCTGTTGGACCAATGCAAAGGCACCTTGATCATCAAGTAAATCTTGTCCTGGGTTGAAGACCTCGCCTGAAAGTCCATGGGCGTAGTTCATGGTCTTCCCAAGAACCCATTGTTGTGGTGAGAAACCACGGTGAAAGCTCAGCTGGTTGATGGAGTGTGGCACATAGATGGCAGCTTCCTTCAGGGCTGCAAGGTCATGTCGACCAATGTCATCTTGGTAAAGTTCCAGTGCACGCCGCACAACTTGATATTTGCGCTCCACCACACTCAGCCATGAGTGACTCTCAGCAGGTTGAACTTCAATTTCAATGCCTCTTGAAGCGGCCCATTCTCGCACATGCTTTGAAGACCAGCCCTTCGCCTCATCAATCCGCAGCACTTTCGGCAAGCCAAAGTGTTTGAACCATGCTCGCTCAAGGCCCTTGGTGAACTCCTCGGCCTTCTCAGATCGCAAGATCCTCACAGCACAGTAGCGAGTCGCATGGTCAATGATGGTCAAGAGTCAAGACACGTTGGCGACCAGTGTAGATCTTCTCAGCCTTCAGCTTCTCCTTCTTCTTGTGGGCAGGAGTTCCCGTCTGAAAGGGAAGCTTTCTGGCATAGCATGTGGGGCAGATGTAGCCCTTGGCAGCATCGAGGACATTCTGTGTGGCCTGGACCTCGTTGAGCATTCGGTGAGGAACACTGCTTGAAGGATGTCCGAGGTTCTTGTGCAACCGTTGGACGTAGTCGACTGCTCGTCCTCCAACTCGCTTTCTCAAAGCCTTGTTGTTGGAGATGGGGTCGTTGGGATCTGGCTCTTCTTGACCTGCAGCTTTGCCATCGTGAGATGCGACTGCACCAGAATTGTCCTGGGCTAACTGCTCCATTTCCTGGGCAAACTTTTCAACCTCATCATCTGGTGGCATGTCGTCATCCTCATTTGCATAAATCTCGGCATTGTCGTGGTCAAGTTGAACACGGATTGCATTGACGATCGCAGTGGCCAATCGCTGGGGGTAGTTCTCTGCCAGCATGGATCTTCTACCAACTCCAGGGATAGATCCCTCAAGTCTTGTGTGTTGATGTTGCCCGTCACATCGACGTGCAAGCTTGTCGTGGAAGACTTTGCCAGTTGCTCTGAAACATGTTGGCTTCTGGACTGGGTTGATGTCGCCGTTGTCATCGGGCATCTCAAGTCCATAGCAGCATTGATCCACACGGGTGTCATAGCCCTGCATCCGTTTGAAGGCTTTGGTGAACCAAGCTCTTGACTTCCATGGATGCTCGGCAATTCCAAGTTTGCCATTTCGTCGTTGGTACTCGTAGACCATCGCTGCAAAGACCAGCAAGCCACCATGGTTCTCCTGACCAAGTGCTTCCAGCTTCTCAGCATAGTCAGGGTGTTGAGCTATGGTCAGCTCTTGCAACAAGCTCCATAGTTTGCATGGGGGCATCACCAAGCAACAATCAGGCTTCTCAGTGTGAAGTCGCTTGAAGAAGGCTCTGCAGTGGTCTGGGTTCTCAAAGTCCCAACCATCTTCAAGAGAGAAACGTTCTGCTCGGCAGTTGTAGCGGTGGTTCGCTGTCTTGGTGACTCGTCCAGCTCTTGCAAAGATTTCCCAGATGACATACTGCTTGTTGCCATCATGTTGATGGCCACCCTCAGCTGCAAGGGAGAGAATGCGGTCAAAGTGACGCCTCTCCTTCTCAGCATCGTGAATCATTTGTCGCAGCTTGCCATTCAGCAGGTGGTGCACGTCCATGTCAGCAACATCGTCCTTGGTCGTCTCGACCTTGTTGGACTTGGGAGGGTGGCTCAGCAGTTTCGGCTGTCACCTAGGGCTCTGCAGAGTTGTTGTTCGACAAAATGTCGTTGGTGAAACTCACAGCTCGGGGGTCGATCTGTTCAGCGTTGGCACTTGCAAGTGAATTCAAGGAAAAATGTTGTTGAGATTGTTCATCAACCTGTGCGGTGTTCTTGGGCTCTTGCTCATCCATGTTGAAGATCAGGTCACCATGATTCAACTGATCGATTCCGTACTTCTCGGGCTGTACGTGCTTGTCGAAGTCATCGGGGATGAAAGCCTGAACTGGCTCTGAACTGCACAGTTCCCCAATGTCGGCAGCAAGATGGATGACAAACTCGCCCTTGGCTCCACGCTCTGCTCGGGACCAGGGTCCTGATCCAACTCTGATCAGACCGTTGGCATAGTCCACGCTGATGCCAAGTGCCTCCATCAGGGGCCGTCCCAGCAAGATCGGCGCATTCCCGTCAATGATGTAGATCAAGACGTCGCGCCTTGCACCATGAAAGAAAGTGGGCACAAGAGCACACCAAGTCGTGCTGTTCAGGTTTCCGTTGCCAAATCTGAAGCCCTTTTGACATTTCCAAACTGGAATGTCCTTCACATTGTACTTGGCCTCCACAAGGAACTTGACATACTTCAGCAATTGCATCCTTGAGGTCAGGACAGAAGCGGCTCCACAGTCGGGCATGGCTGCATCAGAGGTCTGGTCCAGGGTCAGGTCGATCACGCCTGTCTCCTCCACCATGTGCACATCACCAACCTCCGCATCGTCAGCCTTTCGTTTGCTCCCGCCAGCTGCAGGGGAATCTTTCGCCCAGTGACCAGTTTGTCCACATTGTAGGCATTTGCTAGCACCAATCTTGCCAGCCATCGGAGCTCTGCGGTCTCAGCATCTGCTTGCAAAGACTTGCCCTTGCCCTTGGACTTGCCCTTCCGAACAGCTCCTTTGGAAGGTCCTCCTCCTTTGACGTCAGGTCCAAGTGCAACCACAGGGAAGTATCCACGTGACACTCGCAGTTGCTGTAGGCTCTGCTTTGCCTCAACGTAGTTGGCCATAATCTCGTCGTACTCCGCTGCAGCATCATCGAATGCAGCATAGGCTTCATCCGTCTCCTCCTCACCATCATCGTCATAGTAGGCGGCTCCTTCATCGAACCAGTATGCATCACCCTCCTCGTAGTCATCCTCGTCCCAGCCATGACCATCGTCAGCATCCTCTTCGTAGAAGATTGGCTCCTTTCCACCACGGCTCCAACGTGAAGTCGTGTGAGTCTTGGCATGAGTGTCAGGGACGGTGTCCTGGCCAATGATGAAGTTCATCCCTCGCCGCATGGTCTCCAGTGAGATTTGAGACGATCCAAGGTGACTCATGATCATCTGGCGTTGCTCTTTGGAGATTCCAGCACGCCGTAGGTACCACCATCCGATCACCTTGTCGGGCAACTGCACGTTGTGGGCATCCAGCTTCCTCAGCGCTCGCTCAAAGTCAGCTGAGTACTCTTGAATGCTCTGGCTCCTTCTGGGGCTCAAAGTCACGAAGAATGCTTCGAAGTCTGCAGGGAGCTCCGTCAGTGCATCATACTTGAACACCCGGTCCAACCTCTCCAGCACTGTCTTCATCGCATCGGCACCTTCCAAGGTCGCCATCTCCAAATCCTCACATGCGTCCCATGCACGCCCCTTCAACGAGCTCACAACGTTGAAGGCGGTCTCCTTGCCACCGCCAGCCAATGACATCTTCTTGTCATACAGTGTCAGCCTCTTGCGGTACTCCTTGTACGCATTCGCTCTGCCGCTGAACTCGGGGATGTTCTCATGGGCTTTTCCAGCATAGGGCGTCCCAGATCCTGCGCTTCCAGACGTACGTTGTCGCCATTGCAAGATCAGATCTGGCCTGCTCAGGGCCTGCAGTCAGTTAAGGACCTGCACAGGGTCTGAAGACAATGTAGTCCAAGGACCTGCTCAGGGTCAGCAGTGGAGATGGGCCTGCTCAGGGCCAGTCGTGGATGAAGGTGGGCCTGCTCAGGGCCAGTAAAGCACAGGCCTGCACAGGGCCACAGTCAGTGTGAAGGTGTTGACCTCCTCCTGGATCTTCTTGAATCAGCTCCGCGCCACAAACTTCTGGATTTCCGGTGACCACACGAAGTGTCACAACGCCAGTGATGGAATGGAATGGGGATGGCGTAGCGCACTAGGCCCAGCAGCCTTTTGTCTGAGATCTCGAGCCCTCCCGGCTTTGGGTGAAACGTGATTCCTTTGGCACCGCTGGATCATGTGTGTTACATGACATGTTTGGATGGGCCATGCATGAATGCTGAATGTGTTCAGCGAACACTTGACACGGGTTAATTAATATGCTATGACTTTGGTTGTCCCTCCCGCGCAACAGTAACCACTCGGATCATCACTATTTTCCTATAGGGGACTATTGCTAATCTTTGCTACTTGCGGCCACAAGGACATACGGCGTTTGTTCCGGGAGGGAAAAACTACCCGCTGTAAATCTAACATAGCTCTGGAAGCCGTTTTAGTTCGATGGTTTACCTATTCAAAAAGATTTCTCATAGCAAACTGCTTTGGATTACCAGAAGGGTATTCACTATTATCCCAGCATTATCCCCTTATTATCTCATTACCAATTTCATTGAATTACCAATTTCATTGCAATAAGCCCAAAGAATATCCCCAACAGCAAGAAAGCAGCGGCCGTAGATCCCAAACAGTAATTCCATATAAGCGTGGAAGTTTTTGTTTCATAAACGAAACTGCCAGACTTCTCACATGGTCACCCTCAGTACTCCTTCCTAGCGAATGTCATGGATTGAGTTGCCAACCATCAACACGATACCCTCTGAGAATTTCACCCTTTGCTATGGAAAATCACCACTTGTAAAAGGATGTAATAGGTAAATTATTGAACTAAATGTGCCATGGTTTCCATAGCTCTGTAACAAATTGCAGTAGAGTAACATAGCTGGAAGTTCACCTTGGTTTTGGCCAAAAACAATGCCAAAACAAACCAAAACATGATTTTTTGCAATTGAAATTAAGCATTGCACTGATTGATTCAACTTCATTGTTCATGGCCAATCTTGGATGCATGTTTCTTCAGTTGGTTAGTAATCCATGGTTTGGTGGGATATTGTAAACCACATGCTTGGGACCCAATCGACTGGGGGTGTAACTAGACTGAATGTTGTGGGAGACGGGATTAATCCACTTACTAAACTTCTCAAATCCCATTGCTTGTTTTGCACAGGGTCCCGCTGCTTTTCCTGCAGCTTTTGGAACACACTTTAGCCGCTTTAGCCTCTAGGCCCCTTTTTTGGACCCGCTTGAGGGATCTTGAGCTTCTTCCTCCTAACTCATGATCCTTCTCCTGGTGTTTGCCGAGGGTTTGCCTTTGTATGGAGTACAGGGCCCCATTTTTTTCAGCCTGTAGGGAGTGCTTGCCTTGCCGAATTTTTTCGGAGCGGTTTTTCCTCTCCAGCGGCTGTCCTTTCTACCCCATGCTCAACCTCTAGCCCCTAGTTGTCGTTGCTGCTCATTGCCGAACATCCGTTGCCGCCACCGCAGCCTGGCCTCCCCAACCCTCCTCAGCCAGCGGCGTCGGTGCTGGCGTCGAGAGGTTCTTGGTCACGTTGGCCTTGGTCGATTGTAAATGAATATACGCTGTTTAGATATAGGTTATATGTGATACCGGGTATGTATATGTATGTATATATATATATACATGTATATTCATATGTGGATGTTTTAGGTACATTATATATACACATACGTACATTACATGAATTGGGAATCCCAATCAAACATGGAGATGACCCAAATTCTTGACTGTCCATTTGACCATAGAGAGAGATGTACTGTAGAGAGATCGGGGTGAGACCCTAAACGTGGTCGGTACCCCATCTGTGGTCGCTGTACCGGGTTACCCAACAAACATGGGGATATAATGGGGATATATTGGGGATGTGATTCATGGTGATATCGTGGAATGCAAAGCCAATCTTAGATACCCGAAAAAAATAGCTGGGAAATGTAGATATTCCTCTTGAAATCGCAAAAGATGATTCAGGATTGAACTTCGCACCCACGGTTGACCTAGAAAAAAAGTGTGAATAACCAACAACACGACGTTACTGAATATGTTACAAAAGGGGCTAAAAGGGGTGTTGCTCCAAGAAATCTTGGATGTGCCCCAAGTGATGGTTGGCAAACCGTCCCCCTGTCAGATGACCATTGTTTGTCCACCCTTGGCTGGCTAACTGGCTAACCAATAATGACAATTCCACCGCGTTAAATCCTGTTAAATCCTTGAATCCTGGTTGTAACCCCAACTTGGCTTTGTTATTAGATACCAATGACGGAAATTATGGATGAACAAGCAGATTGGAAGATGATCTCCTTCATGTCATGCGAAAATTTCCGGGTGTCACCATGATATTTTTCTGTGGGGTGCTAGCCCATCAGTTGATATCCTGCAAAACAATGTACCATCTGGTTATTTAACATAGCCATGGAAAATGGCCCATTTATAGATGGTTTACCTATTAAAAATGGTGATTTTCCATGGCTATGTGACAAATAACCAAATGGTATATATATAGTATTTGGCAGGATAGCAACGATATTCCCATTGGAGACAACGGATTAGCATATGAATCCATGACCGTCCAGGACCCGTATCCCCCGAAAAAAACTGACTGGTTACGTGTCTGAAAACGGAGAAAATCCACAGTACAAACCATTAGATTGCCATTGTTCATGCATGTTTCTGGGGTGGTATACATGATGTTTAGATATGTTTAGACAAACCCATCATTTTTTCAGAGCCCCAAAAAAAACAATTTCAGAAATGATCAGCCAATATTTTTAGGAGTAGCCAAAGAGAACCTTCCCCTCCAATATTCAAACATGGCCTGAAAATCAATCAGCTATAGTTCCATAATTCTACCATTTAAACCTCCATTTAGTTCAAGCATATATCGGATATGTCCATAGTTTTCTGCATGTTCTTATGATTTTCTCGCAGTTTCCGCTATGTTCTTATGATTTTCCCATAGTTTTCCTCATGTTCCGATGGTTTTTCCCATCGTTTTCCCTCGATGTTCACCACAAAAAAACCCTGCCTGTGCCGTCTGGGCCGTGGCTCGGGTCGCTCGGGCCTTTGCCCCTTGGGCAATTTCTCTCTTCCTGACTTCGTCCCAGGCCCTGTCCTCAGTGGGAGGTGAAGATATGTAGAAACCAGACGAAAACCATGGGAAAACCACGGAAAATTGTGATTTCACTAGGCAAAACGCCGATTGAACCAAGAAAAAGACGGATTTTTCAGATTGAAGATGGGATTTTGAGCTGATTGTACCAAGAATAAATAGGAAAATGGTGATTTACCCAGGGGAAAATGATGAAAAGCCATGTGAAAAGCCATGGTGATTTAAGCAAGAACAAAATAGGGATGTCATGGAATTTGTAGTTGAATTATGTTGATTTATGATCACTACCCCCTGGTATAATTAGAATACCCTCTGGTAAACTCACATAGCTATGGGGCTATGGAAAATGGATGAACATGACCTATTTAGTTCAGTGATTTACCTATTAAGTTTGCGACTGTCCATGCTATGTTTAGGAATGTACCCAATTTCTATGGCTTTGTATGGTACAGTAGCTCCAGTTTAGGTACCTGAACTTGCACACATTGACAGCCGAACATCAACACAGCACATAGATAAAATAAGACATGACATGTGCAAAAGCAAGTTGACAAATGCCCAAAAGAGGGTCCATTAAACCCCCCGTATCCCCTATTTAATCCATTGCTCTATCCTTTTAATCCCTATTTATAATATGTCACTGAGGCTACCATCTGGTGAACTAATGTAGCTATACAAAATCACCATCTTAATAGGCAAATCAGCGATCAATAGGCAATTTTCCATAGTTTTTTGTATGTTTACAAGAGGCTATTCTGATCATACAAGGTGAGGCCCCCCAGTTAGAAGTTGGTTTATAAACTCATCAATATAGTTGGACCACGGCCTTTAGAATGCCTTTATGGTGTTTTGTGGACGTTGGGGTGGGGTGGGGCATCTAACATTGCTGGGACATTCCACTTTGCGCCCTTCAGTGACACAATATGTGTTCATGTGGTGCTGGCGTTCTAGCTTAGAAAATCCAGATCCTCAAAGGTTCTTGGAAGAACTAGAAGCGCTGCTCTGACCAAAAGACGACTCAAAACATGTCAGGGCGAATTAGTTTCAGCCTCGGCAAAAAAAACAAAAATGCTGGTTTCGTCTGGGCCAAAAACTTGTTTTTGAAAAACTGAACCAGAATAAGGGATTAACGGCCTTAAAAATCACATCAAACAAATTCCTATTGGCACGAGCACATCAAACATGATCCATGACATCCCGTTGATCACAAAAACACCGCGGCTTTCTAAAGGCCATGCTCCTAGTTACATCCCTCTGATCAACTCAACGAAGTTATGTTCCTCAACTTAGCCATCAGAAATCAGCGATAAATCCCATGAAATCCCATGTTTTTTCATTAAATTACCATTTCCCTATGGTTTCGCGATGTTTCGTGTACCTTGGGGGATGATTACTGATTGATCTCTTTGGATGGCTTCTACTCTTCGCCGGTTCTCTTCAGTCAACCAAGTCCAACATCGCCTACAGACCTTGATGGCGTCGAACCCCCCGTTGCCCAACCACCGGCAGCCCAGGTCGCGATGTGCTAACCTGCTGCGGTCTTCTCTGGTCACGAATAGTAGGTGATCCGGACTTGGGGGGGTTCTGACGCAGGTCCGGCACAGGTGTACCTCGCAGACGTCAGCATACAGTACACAGGCACATCCCACGGTATGCACTGTTCCAGCTGTCGACTTGACAACCAGTAGGCCCCGGATTGCTGCAAAGCAATCGCCACCAGCACCGTGCTAATAATGAAGTTGTCACAGCTGCCGCCCTTGGCACGCGAGCAGCTGGAAAAGTGACCTCAGAGTCCTTAGAATCCCAGGTCCTTGGAACAACAGGTTACATTCCTATGCAGCTTCGTGTGAATCCGTATAACGACATTCAACAACCGTAGCAGCAACTTTAGCAAGATACTTTAAGACACTAGTGTCACCATTAAGAGTCGGCCAACCAAACCTAGCCGTGAGGGGGTTTTGAGGCTTAACAGGCCTGTTCTCAAATTGAGGACAAAACCAAGCCATGTGCTCCCAGGTAGCAACAGAGCAAGAGCAAAAAGGGCAACCCAGCTCATTATCTTGTTTCATCTTGGCCAAGGCAGCAGGGGAAACAGTCGCCCCCAAGGCAACATGTCTCTGCCAAGCATTGTCTTTAATGCCAACACGCAAAGCATGGAAATCAATTTCATCAAAAAAGGAAACCATCTGTTCAACGGAATAATCAGACAAGAACTGTCTAGGCTCTCGTCGTTTTTGGCACAACCAGGCACGGAACTGCGTCTCACGCCAGGAATTTCTAATGAAGTGAAGGTGCCAAGGTCGTTGTGGTGTGGTTTGGGGCTAGGGTTTGGCCTGTAAAGCGCTGCGACGTGGACAATCAAACTTCAATTGAATCAACTGAACAGCTTCAATCCTAGCAACTTCACAAGTACTGGCTTCAGTTCTACAGTTCTAACATTACGGCTTCAGTTCCAACCACTTCAACTTCGGTGTGCCAGCTAGCCATCACAAGGCTCCAGGCCACACCCTTAAGGACCAGGGTTCTGGTAGCCTAGACCAGATTTTGGTTTATTGCAAACCATAGAACTCATTTTATCCATAGTTGGTCCCTGTAGTTGGCTTGTATCCTATAAATCAAATTATATACCCAAGCTATCCTCCATTATATCCATAGTTGGATTACAACCATGATTCAGTCAGGGGGTGGGGAGGGTGGGTGAGATTGGGATGCGGGGGGGTGGTATATTAATGTTCAGAAAGAGTTGCTTACATTGCTGATTATACGTTGGGAAAGGTGTGCAGGTGCATTTTGTGAATAGGGGGCTCGAATTGACGTAAAAGACTTGCCTCTGAAGTCACGTTCTTCATGGTCTTTTTGCACTTTGAAAAGATTCCGTGTGTCCCATTTTGTGACTATGTGGTTCAAGTCCAAGTTGTTTGTTTTTGCTCATGCTTAAGACATTTTGTGGAAGTTAGCTGTGGATGGTCTGATGTTGTTTTTCCACGTGGAGAAAATATTGTGGAAGCAACGGTGCTGATTGTCTACCCTTTTGAAGCAACTGGCAAAAGACTATATGTAGGCGCATTCGGTTGAAAAGCGTGGCTGCCAAAAGTGACACTTAGCAAAACGACAAACAAGAATCAAGAAGACTTCAAAAAAAATGGACATTGTAAACCAATGGAATTTATGCTGAATGACATCCAAGATAATTTTGACTGGCCCTGCACGAAACAGACATTCCATCATAAAATGTGGTCCAATAATCGGTCCGGGGGATAGACCAGCCAGAATATGGTGAACCGGGTCAAAACATGTCAAAACCCTGTAGCCCTTGGTGATGATTTTTTTCCGATTTATGGATATCTATTCAGGTATTGGTCTGTAGCCATGTGGAAATAAATATGGGGGAACTCAACCATACTTGGTGCCCCAGTAAGTGGGTTGTAACCTCAGTTAGTTCAGTAGGGTAAGTATGGGCAATGTCCAGTTATAGCTGTGGTGAACGAACACACATATATATATATATAGATACATGTGCATGACTTGGGGGCGAGACTGGCAGGCATTTAATATGCGTGGGCTGTTATTGGATAGTGGGGATATCTCGTAGGGTATATCACCAGCTTGATATGATGTACAATTTCCAAGGGTGTCTTATGGTTAATCATGGGGATATTTATAGGTATTAACATTAATATGGACTAACAAACGAAGTTATGGGGGTTATAACCAACAAAATATTAGGGTATAGTGGGATATAGTACCAAGCCAACCAACAATATGATTTGCCATGAAATAGTGGAGAAAACGGGGTCTCCCAACCATCAAATTTCGGGGCACCCAATTTTTTTTCATCAAATTTCGGGGCACCCAAATGGTAAAATGATGTAAAATGTCCTTTTGTGCTGTCGATGTTTGTTGGATTAAAAACGGCAATCACGTCAAAGCTGACCGGGGATCTGGATGGATTTTGGGGGCCCCTCTGGGAAGCGATTGCTCCACGTCTAACCCAAAAAAAACAAATGGCAGTGGGTCAAAACCTTGTACCCCTGGTGAACATCAAAATAGCTGGTAAATGGATGTTCATCCCACTAAAAATGGTATTAATAGGTATTGATCCATACCCAAATGACATTGCCAACGAAACATGTGCAATTGTCTGTCATCCTCGGCACAAAAAAAAGTGGGGCTTGGTGATGAGCATTTTTTGATGTCAAAGCTGTGTTGCGAATATGGTGAATATGGTGATCCCCAGTCGCCACCATATGGTTGTCAACCTATAAATGGAAGCCATCAGATCGGAGTCCCACCGGAGAAAGAACCCTAAACCCTCCGGAAAACTCAAATGGCTATGGAAATCACCATTTTAGGTAAATCATCGAACTAAATGGGCCGTTGTTTCCATGGCAAACTGTCACAAATTACCAGAGAGTACCCTTCGATGTCCTCAAACATGACAATTGAAATTACCTATTGGGTTTTAAAGCAAACATGATCCATAATCATCCATAATCATCCATTTATAGATGTGTTTGTTTCCCATTAAAACCTCTATTAGTTCGGGGATTTGCCAACCACATTTGAAAAAACACCGGAGAGTAGCCAGAAGAGTTTTGCGCCAAGACGCGTACATCCTCACACGCCTGAAGGGTGGGACAAAAGCAGCCAAGCCCCACTTGCAAACATCCCCCGTACCTGTCGCTTCGTAGAGATTTCAATGATTCATAGTGATAAATCAGGTACATGTCCTCCCTTGTAGGGACCTGAAATTGCCGAATTGCCTCGAAATGTCCCAACTTTGGTGGATTTGGGAGGCCAAGCCTCAACCTTTGCAGTGTAATAACCCTTTATATTCACATTGGAAACTTGATGGTGATTGGGTTTGAGCTCATGGAATGAGGAGCGATGGCTCAGTCATGAACTGGCAGACAGATTCATATTCAAAATTTCAGCAATCTTTGGGTTGAGGGGTATATAATATTGGCTCATGCCCATCCTATGCAAATAACTCACACATATATATATATATATCATATCGTATAATATATCATGTCATATATATATATACATACATACATACACATACATACGTGTATATATATATATATATACGTATGTATATATATATATGTATACTACATAGGCTACTCGTTCAACACCTTTTTAGTCATCCACGACGCACAGGAATTCCTCAAATAACGCATGTATATACCGTACACATATACATACCTATATATGTATATATACATATGTATATGTACATGTACATGTACATGCGTATATCCATGCATACAGATACATATTGATGCTGATGCAAACATATATATATATAATGCTGTGTTTTTAAATAGATAAAATAGTAGCATTATATTGTATATATTAATGGTAACATACGGAAACATCACACATCAACTCCTCACCAGGAATCAGGAGCGGCACCGGAGCGCACCTTTGCTCTGCTGCTTGGTTGAAGCGCTCTCGATAGTATCTGCAGTTCATCACTTTTGGTTTTCTCTTTAAAATAGTTTGGTTGATTGGGTATGAAATAAGGATCTATATGGGTTTACAGTAGACCATCAAGAATGGAGAGAAAAGGTGATATAACTGAAAAAGGATGGTTGGTTGGGTATGAAATAGGGAGTTATACTACCTGGGTTGTTGGAGATTAAGCCATAGTATCATAAATGTTAGTTGGTCTATAAACCCCGTGAATAATATAGGTATAAGTATCCTAAACCAGAGTTATTGGAGTTACAAACCAACTTAGCTATGTTAGTCTTCGTCATGTGGGCAATCCAATGTCACAAGCAACTACCATGACTGGGGATGGTTTATACATCCCGCTCATAAAAATGCGCAAACGACTTGGGTATAGTGAAAGTTATTAGGTTTACCACATTATGTGCATTATGGGAAATGTATAAATAACATAAATAAATGTATACATATATGGACATACCACTAACAATATGGTTAGTAAGCGGGAAATCTGGGATAGGTGGCTTACTTCTGGCTTTTTAAAAGATGCTATTCTCGATAAACGCCATGGTGATCTTCCATTCATCTGGGCCGATAGATCTTCCTATAGCTTGACGGCACATCTCTGGATCCAAAAAACGACATGTCGGGATTGTGGATGATTTTGGTATGAAATGTGACATGGCTATCCCATTTATATGGCGATGATTGTATGAAATATTGGAATTATCCATTATATGTAAGACGTAAGGAATATGACATAGCTATCAGGGCAAGGAATATGAAATTGGTATTTTTCGCTCATGATCCTAGTAGTTGTATGTATTTCTTCAGCATCAAACATTCCAGCCCATAGAAGCCGATGAACCAACCCCGGCTGTATCTTTATGATCCTATGGCGAGTGCTTGGCCCTTGCTGCAACAGATATAAATCTTGCACTGTTCTTGTCAAAACCCAGCCGTCTGGATCCTTCTTGTGCAAGTCTTCAAGACTAACAGTTGGAATTCTTCAAGACTGACAGTTGGAAGTGGACTAAGAAAATAGATTGGCTTCTGTCGGTCCTGAGATAGGAAATGATGAGAAACATGGGTGGATGATATGTAGTCATCCATGGTTTGTGGTTTAACTATGGTTAACTATGGTTTAAGAAGGATATAACATGATATAACTGATATTAACTATAGTTAACGGGGCTTATAAACCAACTTATGATTCTGTTAGCCTCTGGTTATCAAACAGCTTTGGATCCACCTGGCTGGAGGGCAGAACCTCGTTTTTTTAACTTGCGATGGCAAGTAGCTATCAAAACATCTGTAGCTGTGGCAAAATATGGATTCTCCCCGGAGCGATGGAGGCGACTAGGAGAGTTGGTTGGAGTGTCACAGATCTGACGAAGGTACCCATTGAGCTCGTCGCGATTCAAGTTGCGCTTTCCTTGCGCCACGACCAGGCTGGAAAAACCATTGTGAACCCGAGAAATGCTGGAGACGTGTCAGAAAAAAAAAACAGCGGAAATCAGGAATCCAGCATTTCATGGTCTTGGATTCGCTCCAAATGGAAAGGTTAATTACAGGAGATCATGTAATGGTTCCCTTTATCATATGGACCGTTGAGCACATCCGTCTCTCCATATGGAGGGTTGAAACCCATGGCGCCTCAAGAATACTTGACAAACCCCCCTAAGAAAAAAAAAACTGGTGCGGAACGAATCTTTATATGTCCAGAAATGGTGGTTTCCATAGTCATGGGGGTACCCTAAAATATGGATGGTTTATTTCAGTAAAGATTTCATGGAAAATCCCAATCCAAAATGGATTTTTTTGGGGGTAGCCCTATTTCAGGAAACCTCCAGATGTCCATATCATCTGGGAATAGCTCGGCATAGATTCCACTCCTTCACCGGTCCCTAGGATCCCTAGGTCTCCGGACGGTCCCAGCTCATCTTTGCAACGTCCTCCTCCATGGCCATGACAGCAGCCATAGCCAAATTTAAGGCATCGCAGTGAAGGGACCCCTCTTGGGAAAGCACCATTGAATCCATTGAATTACTATGTGGAAATCATCCATCCAAAAGCACGAAACTCTGCAGGTGACAGCTGTGACAAAAGCACGAAACTCAATGCTGAAGTTTCGAAACAGCTGCAGGGGTTGAACAAAAGGCCCCAGCTCCCTTGATCCAAGCTTCAGAAGAAAAGCTGCCAAGTTTCTGCCTACGGTTCGATTTCTTATACCGTACGGTGTGTTTTGCACTGCCACACTCCGTTCGAATAGACTTAGTTATTTATCACATTATGTTCAACTACTTCTTCTTCTTCTTCTTATTTTTCTTCTTCTCATGTATCTGTTACTGCGTAGGAGATGAACTTGTCTTCTTATGTATCCTATACTACACGTTAACGTCTTCTTATCTATCAGGTACTACGCTTTAACTTGTTCATCTCGGCTATGCTGTCCTAAGTTTAATTTCTTCGTCTTCTCCTTCTTCTTGGCTATCCAGTAATACGTTTCAACATCCTCATCTCATCTAACCAGATCCAATCCCCGTTGAGGTTAACCGGCAAGGAAAATCAAAGTCCCTTGGAAACACCAGCTGTGCTGACCCCAAAGTGTCTGGATCAACAGGTCATCTCCACGACTCTCCACGACCAATCCCTACCTTCAGGGCCTTTCAAGACTTTTGGACTGCAGTTTCCAGATTGAAACCAAACCTCCTATCCAGACATTTCAGGGCATCCAACTTAAATGACCCCATGGTCTCCCTGGGCCCTTCATGAGCCAAGGAGTTCCTCTGCTTCCTGGCTTCCTAGATGCTCAAGATATGGATTTGCTGGCCAAAAAACATGTCAATGTGATAAACCCAACGCGATCAACCTACCATTTAGGGCATTTAGGGACGGTATTTACCACCCAGGTGATTTTGGGGATGATTTATGAAATTGGGCCCCACATTGCCCGAAATATGATCCGATTCATAGGATGTAGATGTTCAGATAGAATGAATGTAGGACACCATACTCGCAGGGATTTGCATTTTTCAAAACGCCATTTTTTTGGCGAATTCCAGCGGGCCCTCTTTTTGGCGATGGCGGACGCTGGTCCCAAAGTCCTTGGCATCTTGCCAAGTTTGTGACATCCACCTATCGACCAAATGTCGATCAAAAGCCGGGGGAAAATGGGGAACTTTGGGGCACCCCAATTTGAAAAACACCCTGAAACATTCTGAGACTATTGACCCTGATGGAAATGCTGCATAAATACTTGGTGAATCTTAGAATCTTGGTGAAATGTGATGAATAGGCGATGTTGAGCATCCAGCTTCCCATAAATCTTCAAGCAAAATGATTGGCTTCACTGCCGGAGAAGCCGATCATTTCTGCCTTGGTTTCTTGAGGTAAGTTTGCTTGGAACCGCCAGTGGAGTGTGGTGTTCCGGCCCAACAAAAGTGCTGGATACATTGGAAGATCTCTGCTCGAAAGTTGGGGATGAATTGCTTGATCCTCAAGTAAATGTGATACATAGCCTATATAGCTATGGAAAACCCACCATTTGTAGATCATTTGCCGAGGGAAACCCCTGGATTTCCGTATCTATGTCGATTCAAACAAGCTGTGGGCATCCAACCTGTGCACATACCAGGGTGAGAAGTTAAGATCTTGCGAACCACAGATATGTTCACCCGAAAATTTGGCAGAAAGCCATGTTTAGAGAGTTGTTTCCCCCTGTTTACTGATCAATTTCTCGTAGTTGGCTTGTCCCATCAATTTTGTCTGGGTGCCATCCGAAAATCGTGGATTTTGCAATTCCAGGGCTCAAAGAAAAAACACTTCCCTATAGATTCCCCAAATAGGTTTGTCTGAAGATAAGGTCCCCCAAAACCACTGGTAATGATCATATATAATCACATTTACCCTACTAAAATGGCCATTTGGAGGTCTATCCTATTCCACACCCAAGTACCACAATTCATTGGTGGATTTCTCGTGGATAGGTCAAGCCATAGGACTGCCGGCCTAGAAGGTCTTGTACATGTCACACTGGGCACCCAACCTGGAAGTTTCGATCCCTTTTTTCACTAAGAGAATATGAAACATCTGTGATTTTCCAGGGAAATGAGCTAGAAATGCTGGGTATTCCATATCTATGCTGGAGGGTAACACATGTTGGATAAGTATGCATTGGTATCTCTAGTTTTATATTCATTAACAGGGTCAAATAAGGCCATATATTTACCTCAAGACAATGAGGTTTGCCCAGGCTCCCAATGAGCCTCCGGGCAAACCAAAATTGTTCGTTGGAACTGGCACCGATGTTCTCAAATTGGAGAAATGCAGCTTTTGGGTGTATATAACATGTATAAATATGTATAATGTTCATGTGGTAATTTCCTAAAGTAAGGGTACCCCCAAATCATCTGTTTTCTTGTCGGATTTTCCACTATAAACCATCCATTTTGGGATCCCCCATGTACCCATATTCTTTGTTCAAGAGGAGCCCTCCAGGGCCAAGTCTATGGATGACTGTTTCGAGCAACCTAGGCCTGCCCCCATTGCGTTTCTTGCTTTGTAAACCCATGAATGGCCCGTGAACGGGCCATATCCCCAATTCATCAACCCAACAGTTCACCAAGAAAAAAATCTGTCAACGCGTCGCGATTTCGGTGGCCTCCTCCAAGGTTTCCCCTCCAGCCTGGATGGTAGCATGGCCCTTGGGCTGGGCTGCACTTTGGCCGC